ACGGGTGCTCTCACATACATGCAGGCAATACATTCATGCACATAAAAAATAAAATATTTTTTAAAAAGAAAAAATAATGACAATAATAATAAACTAGGAAATGAATATTTGCAGCTATTTCCTACAATACCAACTTATGAAAAAGTGTTTATGAATAGGGAAAAGGTGAAGCCTTATGAAATTTAGATAACTAATGTATTTTATTGTAAATAATTTCTTCGCTATTTAAAAAGATTTCCCTTTTAACATACCTTTTAAACTCAAATAAAAAAATCTCCATTTGATGATAGGACTTTTACATTTTTTTTTATGAACTTGCCCTTTCGTTTTTATCTGCTATTTACACGAAATGCTAAAGTTTAAATAACATCTTGCACTTGTAATAAAATCAATATCTTTAAAATAATTATAGGTCTGCACGTAATCCACCTAATCTTGGTCCCTTTTCGCAGGACCCTTGGATTGGTTCCAAGTCAAAGGCATTAACGTTTTCCCCTAATTTGAGTTAAACCATAGTTGCAGATGATAGAAGCTCTCCTTTCATCTCTTGTGAGAAGGTCGCCCAGCTCCGACCAAGCGAGCCCAGAGCTCCAGGAACTAAACACTTCGGCTGCGCCTACTGATGAGTACTCCATGCGCAGCTCACACCTGGGTGGCTGAGGGTCACATCTGACCCCAAGGCGTCAGTACTTCTGCCCTATTCCCTTTGGGGAGCCGGTAGACGGCTAGGGCGCGGGGAGACGGTGCGCGGCTGCAGTTCCCAGCCCAGCAGGGCAAAGTGGGACCGAACTGGGCTGCCAGTGATTTCTGAGTCTTTGCTCCGGGGCTCTGAGACTGAGCTTCCAAACGCAGAGAAACTCCCATTCCAGCTGGCCAATCTAGAACCTGGAAACTTCCGATCCCGCAAAGAGCGAAACCCAGTCGCTGGGGCGCCACAAGCTGACTGCCACTGAGTGGCAGAGTCAGGGGAGCATCACCATACCTCCGGCGGTGCCGCCCTAGCTCCGGCCCCAGGAAGATAGCACTGCCAGTCTGCCACAAATAATAGCCCCGGCTGGAGGGGATGAACCAATGGGGTTCTCAGAATAAAGGCAATGACCGCCCTCTGGACTCTGGAATGAGCCACCTCACTGTTTGGATGGCCAAAACGCTAACCACTCACTTGTTCAGAGCCTAGACTCCCCAAATAGAAACCCTTTCCCAGTGTGGCTAAAGCTTTGAGGAAAACTGCACTTCTTGGATTCTTGGTTCTTCTCTGGCATGCTTCTCTTTAAGCACTACCCTCAATGCCCTGCCAAACTTTTCAAAATTAGTGGCTAGAAAACACCATTATTTCCAGGCCACTAGCCTTTGGAACCAGTATCTGAGCTTAAAATGGAAAGAACCTGACAAATGATCTTAAGAAGTTTCTCCTTACCAAGTCTAGAAAGCCTTTATTTACTGAAGTTGATGGGAGTTCATCAGTTGCTAGAAGTGAACCAAGAAGCACGACCTGCAAAAGGCACTGGTGGTTATAAAACCTGCATTCACCCTACTATCCTCAGGGTAATATCTTCTAAACGAAGGCATTGAAGTCTGCTAGAGTTACTTTGAGAATTTTCTGGGCCTCCATAGTGGTTCTAAGCAACTTACTCGAATCACTGCATATAAAGTTCACAAGTACCAGTCATTGCTTATTTTGCCTGTGTTACAAATGAAGAAACTGAGGCAAGAGAAAGCCTGGGCCAACAGACCAAGCTAAAACCCAGGTGTTTCTGATTTATTTGTTAGCAAAACTTTTAAGTGTCCAAATTAACTAGAACTAAGCAATCATTAATTGCCCTCAGTTGTTTTGTTTTGCTCTATTTTTATTTTTGGTGCAAAATATTCTGTTAGAATATAGGAAATATCCAAAGCCTTCAACATTGACTTCAGAGTGAGCTGTGGTCACCAAGATGAGAGCTATTAGGTGGAGGAGAGTCTGCACCAGGGAAACTGAAACAGGAGGACTGCCCCAGTTCAAAGTTCAACTCCAGCCAAGCTACAAAACAAAATCCTGACTAAAAAAAACCTCTTAAATCCAAGAACGGTGTTGGAGAGATGGCTCAGTGGTTAAAAGCACCGGCTGCTCTTACAGAAGACCCAGGTTCAATTTCCAGCATCCACATGGCATCTAAGAACCAATCCTAACTCCAGTTCCAGGGACTCCTAAGCCTCCTTCTGGCCCCCTTTGGCTTTGCACAACATAGGTGCACCTACCTACATGAAGACAATACACTCATACACATAAAATAAAAATAAATAAAAATCTAAGAAAGCATAATTCAGCTGATTGTATATCACCAATTGACTTTAAGATTGAACTAAAATAATGACATTATCTATGTACGTTAGAATGCAAATGCATGAACAAATACAGAGGTTGTCCTAGTCATCTGATTGAGAATTACAAGCAACCTGCAATCAAGAGTCTTGTAACTTTCTGTTTAATTTTTATTTTGTTAGACTCTATTCTAATAACATCTGGTAGATGGGAGAAACAGGTAGCTAGGGTTTTGTTTCATTAAATCAGTATCAACTCTCAGTGTATTCATTTAACTAAGCTATTCTTGTTTATTTATTGGCTATTTTCCCACAAAATAAGAGTTACAGGACTTAGAACTGAGTTAAGAAATGAGGTGCAGGCAACAGTTTTATAGCTGATAGAATATTTTCCATGTTTCAAATCTGGGCAGCCTTTCTCTTTTGCCCTGAGGACTTACAAAATCCTATTTCAGAAGTTTTTCAATATTCCATTACAAGGCTGGATCTGCTTTCAAATGATAATTGTTATGGAGGACAGAACCATAACAACTAAGCAGGTGGTGAAAAACTGGATTTAGGGAGCCCAAGTTCAGCTGCCAATGTTTCACTTCCAATCTTATGTGACATGATCACCCCTGAACCAAGTGAGTGAGTCTGTAGTCCTCCTTTCTTGAAAGGAAAAAAATGCAAGTAGCCTAAGAATCTGGCAAAGAAAAGGTAATATGTTAATCAAGTGTGTTTCTGTGCCCTCTCCCCCTCTCCTCTCTCCCTCTTCCTGTTCCCCCCACCCAAAATCCCGCCCCCCCCACACTTTGGGCTTTCTCTTAGACAACAAAACATTTTCTGACCAGCTAACACTAAAAACCTATAATTCCCAACATACTACTTCTCATAAAAGGAATCTTTTTGCAGATTACCAGTAATAGATATCAGATGTCCCTGGTTGTGATGTGCCAACCACCCAGTAACCAAGGCAATGTTTCCAACTAGGGGACAACAATGAAGACTTGCAAAGCCTTCAGGATTCAGGACACAAAGGGCATACTTCAATGAATGAGACCATTAGAATCATATCCAGAGCTTCTGGTAACCTACCAATTCTTTAAATCCACCCCTGAGAAAACTGCTGTCGACCTGGGCTTTCAGCACAACCTACCGTAACTAAGGGCCAAATTCTCTACTTGTCAAGCAGAAAATCCTCTCTAGAATTGTAAAACCAGACATTGCTTCTAACTTTGTTGTTTTGCTAATGAGCCTTCCAGTGATCAAATGTTAAATTTTCTGTTCTATAAAATGGAAACAATATTGACAGCACAAAGCTGTTGGAAGAGGTATGGGGGGGGCACTTATACACCAACAAAATAGATCCTCCTTTAGCGTTTTTGAATACTAAAATGTATGCATCATAAAAAGCACTGAAATTTCCTTTATATCCCCAAGGTAAACTCTGTCAAAATGGTACACAAAAAGAAGTGGTGACTCTACTATTCCACAAGCCTTTTTGATAATGAATTATCTGTGACAGGTTTTCTTTTTCCTGGAAAGTCCTTAAAGTAAACATAAAACCGTGGTCTGATGCTGGGCGGGGTGGCGCACGCCTTTAATGCCCAGCACTCTGGAGGCAGAGGCAAGCGGATCTCTGAGTTCAAAGCCAGCCTGCTCTACATAGTGAGTTCCAGGACAGCTGGGGCTACAGGGAGACCCTGTTTAAAAAAGACCAAAAAAAAAAAAAAAAAAAAAAAAAAAAAAAAAAAAAAAGCATGGTCTGATTAACAATGACTTTAGAAACCATTAGGTTTTGCCGCTATCTTGGAATCTGTGAGATGAGCATATTGAAAGTGATAGTTGCACTGTTACAACCTTAAGCCTAATCCTATGAATAAGTCTTCTGTGATTTAACATATTGTGAAGTCTCTTCAAAAGTTGTTTTCAAATTAATACTTCTTTAAAGGATCTTCTGAAGTTGCCAAGTAGTTGGGATTTCATTTGTATTCTTTATTTTCCTTAAGGATTGCACAAAATGGAACCAAGACCAAAGTACTGTGTCCACTGTACATCATTCATTATAAAACAACATACACATCTGAACTCTACCAAATATGATATTTTCTTTAAAATTATATGAATGCTCTTAGATTCATGCGTTATTTTACATTTATCATAATTCTCATAAATAATTGCAACTTGATCAATTTGTACTTCTGCTACCACAGTATATTCAACATAGCAAGTAGTCTTTGACAGAAGGAAACGGAAACATCCACTGTTTTGCCCATGCAGTGAAATGCTAAGGTAAAATTCATACAAAACATCTTCTCAAAAGGCAGTTTCCTTCAACGAAAAGAACGTTTTAAAAACACGTGAAGTTAAGATCAGCGCCCTAGGGGGCGTAAGATACTGTTACCAATGTGATCTTGAACCCCAAGAGGCAGACTACTTGCGGGAGGAGAGGCTATCCAAGGAGCCCAGAGGCCTGCGGAGCCAGGACCTACCCACCACCGGCTGTTCAGGTGACTGAATTAATTCCTTTGAGCCACATTTGAACTTGGCTGAGTTTCCACCCCAGAATTAGGATAGCTATTTCAAATCCGACACCTTCCTGAGAATGGCCTTGTCAGCCTGGCCCCTCTTCTCCCCTTCAGGGTATCTGCCCGCACTGCCCATGTCCCTGCCCTCTCCGTCACGCCCCTGCCCCTGCCCCTTCCCCAGAAAATACTTTAGGACTCGCGCTCGCCGCAGCCCCCAGCCTCAGCATCGCTCTGGTCATCCGTGAAGCAGACGTCCACGTCACTGTCGTCGCTCTCGGGATCCCCGGGCTCCAGGGCATAGCCCGGCTCCACGCCCGGGACGTCACCCGCCTTGGCGAGCAGTATCTGACCCGGGTGGCGAGATTTGACGTGACGTTCCAGGTCCCGGCGGCGCACCAGCACCTTGCCGCAGAACTCACAGCGGTAGGGCGTGTTGCCCTCGGCGTGCAGGCGGATATGCTTGTTGAGGTTGCTGGGGTCGCCAAAGGGACGCAGGCACACCTTGCACTTGAGGGGCTTGTATCCCGTGTGCGTCCGCATGTGGATCTTGAGCCCGTACTTGCGCGAGTACAGCTTGCCGCAGTAGAGGCACAAGTGGCCGGTCTTGGGCTTGCCCGCCGCGGTGCTCCCACTGGCGCCCCCCGCACCCGGCGCCACCACGGTGGGAGGCAGTGCCCCTGCGTCCAGACGAGCGCGGCCCTTCCCCGAAGCCATCTCCGACAGCTGCTGCGTGTGCAAGGCGATCTCACGGTCTATGCTGGCCAGGGAGCCCAGCTCGGCCGCCGCCTGCCCACTTAAGTAAGAGATGGTCTCTGGGTATTTGAGCAGCCCGCCGAAGTGCAGCTTGAGCGGGTAATAGGCGGCGGGGGGCGAGCCGTAGAGTAGTTCCCCGTTGTACACAGTGAAGGCCGGCATGACGGCGGGTAGGTGGCTGCACTCGCCCGCGGGGTAGGCCTTCAGCCCTGTATCCAGGGACTGCAGTGCGCAGCGCTCCAGCGGCAGCCCCGGCGCGGGCAGCGGCGCGAAGCGCGCGGCGGCTGGCTGGGCGCGCTCCACGTGCTTAAAGGCCGAAGCCTCTTCCGGGTGGCCTGGGAGCAGAGGAAAGCCGCGCAGGGTCCCCGGGCAATGCAGGCCTGGCGGCGGCGGCTCCCCCGCGAGCAGACACTTGGGGTGGTGGTGGCCTGCCGGGCTCTCCCCACTGCCGGGGCGCCCGCTCACCAGACCCCCGCCCAGCAGCTTGCCCAGGGCCAAGGCGGGCCCCGGCTTGCTGCCGCGCTCCTCTCCGTACGGGTCGCCCTGCGAGACCGCCAGGGCCGAGCCGGCGGGTTTGAAAGCGGAGCGCACGCCGGGGTAGAAAGCCAGCCCGCCGCTCCTCGCTGAGGAGTCGCCCACGAAGCCGAGGAAGTGGCTGTGTGGTCGGGCTGCCCGGCTCACATCGAGGGCGCGCTCTGGCTGGGACTTGCCCTTCTTGGGGGGTCCCCACTTGCCCAGGGGCGACGGGGGCGCGGAGGCTGCTTCGCGCTTGATGCTCTCCCGCGCCCCGCAGGCCTCGGAGAGCTGAGGGGCCTGTAGTTGGGGCCTCAAATGGCCTGCCTGGGCCGGCACGCTGAAGTCCAAAGCAGCGGATTTCGGAGAGAGGCCGACGCCTTCCACCGGGCCAGCGCCTGGGCGAACCGCGTGCTCCTGGTGCAGGAAGGCGCGGGTCCCGCCGCCACTGACAACGCAGTGGAAACGCAGGTGTGCTTTGAGACTGTTGGGGTATCTAAACGTCCTCCAGCAGTACCAGCAAATGTAGCGCTCCTCCCCTGGGCGAGAAAGTGGAAAAGCAACCGGGTGAGAGGCCAAACAGAAGGAAAGGGACAGACACCAGGCGAAGCCCAGGTTTTGACCAGTGGTGTGGCAGATTCAGAGGTATTCTTAGGGCCTGGAGGGAGAATTCCTGAGTCCCACTGTATCAAGAACCCCACAAAGCACTTATGCGGCCAACCCTTGCAACCCTTGTCACCTTCTCCATCCTCAGAGGACTACTCAAAGCGCAAGAGAGGTGACCCCGGGGTTTCCAAAGACTTCCTCCAAACACCTCAGAGTAAATCTTTGGAAGGCCAGTGCTCAGGAAGGCTAGCGGGTGGGGGCGGGGGGGTGTAGCAGAGAGCAGCTGTTGCTTTAAATAAAGTGGTGAGGCTGCGCTGTGGCTGTTGCCCATCTGTTGGTGTTTGCAGAATAAGTGGCGTATGTCAAGGAGTTTGGAAAAACTGAACAAAGGCCAATCTAATAGTCGTGAGCGCCTCATTACCAGGCGAGACAATATCCTGTATGTATGGGCCATATGTAATCATTCCTTTTCATAGAACAATGTCTTTTGTGTCCACTATCCACCCTTTTTACCCCCTCCCAGCCTTAAACATTGCCTGAGGTTTTCCTGAAGCGTGACCAACTGAAGGACCACATAGGGACTATGATTTGCTATTCTTCAAAATTATTTGCATCTTTATTTCCTCTTTAACCTCATTTAATTGGATTGGAGGCGGGGGAAACCCTACCTTCTGATACTCTAGAAAGGATGGTGATAACTGAGAAGGTTGTTGCTGCACTGCCTTGTCAGCTGTCTCACCTGGTGATTAACTCCTAGATAGCTGCAGAAATCCAAGCTTAGAAAAGTACTTGGATAAGATCATTTACTTTATATTTCATTTTATAAATATATAAAAGTGAGAAAAGTGGAAATAGATACTCAGCTTTAAAAGTGCATAATTCTCTACCAGGAGAGGTGTGTGTGTGTGTGTGTTGTCAATTTCTATGTGTTTTATATTATTGGCACTGTTTTTACTTTTGCCTGGGTCTGTGAACACAATCCAGAGACATGAGGATAAAACAGATTCCAAATAGATTATAGACGCTCATTTCCATGTATTTCTGTACATAGCAAAACAACCTTACAGTTAGGTTTGTTTTGAAATGTGGTTGACTGATAATACTAAAAGGAAAGTTTCTGTAAAAGAGAAGTTAATTGAACAAATACCCAAAATACATTGTAGGTCTCTTAAAATTTAATAGAAAATTACATTCTTCCTCCTTATAATCACTGAACTCACTTTTTGAAACATTACTACAGAGCTAGGTGTGGTAGTGATTGCCTTTAATCCCAGTGCTTGGGAGGCAGAGGCAGATGGATCCTGCCTAGTCTACATAGTGAATTCCAGGCCAGCCAGGGCTACATAGTGAGACTCTTATCTCAAAAAATATAAAAAATAAATAAATAAATAATAAAAAGATACAGAAATCACAAAGGGAAAATTTTCCAGGGAAGGGAATCCCCTTCCCTTCTTGCATATTAACTTTTGGCTTTGCATATAGCAAGTGGTCCCCTAAATAACAAAGATAGAAGTTCAAATGAGAAGCGGTTTATTCCAATAGAGTTCAAGGGAGAGGGAGGGGAGGATTTTCCCAGAATACCCTATTCTAATTGTTTATTGAAGACTTATACAAACGTTTTCAATATTCCTATTACCTTGTATTGAACATCTATGTAAAATAACACTTAAAAATTGAGAGAGAAGTGATCCCCCAGCTTTCCTGGTGAGTTTCTTAAGTTCAGAAACTCCCTCTCATCAGCTCTTTTCACAAGGAATTTTCAGAGTCAGTCCCAGAATGACTCAACCAATGCAAAGCCAAATAAGCTTTGTTCTTAAGACAATGGGCAGTAATTCACTTAAGCTATGGAATTGAAACCCACTGAAGTTAGCCAATATTTTGAAAATAGGTGTCACCCCTATATATTTCTTCCTCTTCCCAAGATTTAAGTAAAATGTATTTTCTGATTCCATAAATCTCTTTTCCAGATTATTCTCATGTTCTGCAGACTCTAAGAGTCAATTCATACCAAGTGAGTGACACACTTCCTAAGTGACTTTGCCTTCTCCCCTCCTGTAACTTTAAAGATTTTAATCTTCTGCAATCTAGAGCTATGATGTTCAAAATAACATGTACCTTCCTTAAAAGGAAAATGATGGCTTTTTTCTTTTTGGTCCTTTTGAGACAGGGTCTTCCAGGAGTCCCAGCTGTCCTGGAACTCACTATGTAGACCAGACTGGCCTTGAACTCACAGAGATCTGCCTGCCTCTGTTTCCTGCATGCTGGCATTAAAGGTGTGCGCCACCACTCCTGGCTATGATGGCTATTTTTTATGTCAGCATACGATATTTATAAAACTAGTTGGCTGAAATAGAAATATAAGTGTCACTACTTAAAGAAGTTACTTTTGTATGGTTTCCTAGGGAAGGTGCTGTGTGTAGAAATGGCTGACCCTTAAAGGCCAATGATCCTTCAATTTGTTGTATAGTAGAATATTTGAGTTTCTCACTGTGAGGCTGGTTATATTTCTTTACTGAAATAACTTGACAAAAGAATCTAATAATGTGGTACAAGGGACAAACTATGTTAAGATAATTCTTTTGAATATTGAACCTACAAATCTATTCACAAAACTGAGTTGATTTCCAGAGGACAGTGACACTTTGAAATAAGATGACTCATTGCTCTGAATAAACCTTATTCTGTGTCATTCAGGAAGGAACTGTTTCCTAACTGACACATTTTGTTAATTTATACCTGTTTCTAAAAGGTTAAGGTTGAGCAGCAATTCAGGAAGAGGTTTGTGTTAAAATATTTCATAGGACTTTTTGTTGTCTAAAAATAAATCGCTTCTTAGGAGAAATTAGGAAGAAGCTAAAACAGTTGCCAAAGGAAAAAAAAAGAGGGCAACAGAAGCTTTATCAGGCACGAAAAAGGCATCAAGACCTTAACTATTTTAGCATGTCCCAGCCTTCTTTCCACAGGAAGTGCTCTTCAGTGCTCTGGGAAACTTGAAAATGTGTTTCTGTTTAGTTGCTGCACCTTAATTTGCATGAATTGGTTCTAGGCTTTGGAAGGGATCAAATAAATCTGAGAGGACACTGGGATACTTTCCAGATTCAATTTAGAAGACTTAGTAGGGAGAAATGAATACATACTATTTAAATGGAAAGACCTTACTACCTGCCAACTGACCTGCTCTAAGTACTATAATGCTTCTAAAATGTCAAATACATTGCTGTCCTAGAAAACCAATGGAGAAAAAGCACCCTTCCATCTTATGAAAACTTTCCAGGTTTGAGCTACATTCTTGAACACAAGCTGTAACTAATATAACATATGAAGTCTCCTTTGTTGGTTCTTAATTGAGTAAATAACTGTCATTGGGGTATTTGGTGGGAAAGGAAGACCCAGTGAAGTTCATAAGGAATGTTTCTCTGCCATCGTGGGCCAGATTGTTATTCACCTATTTGCTGATGGTTTTAAGGTGGTAGTAGTGAAGTTCCCTTTCTGCCTATGTAGAGAGCATAGATTCAGTTTTCACACAGCTGGATTTTAAAGGGGCCCTTCAGATCTGGGGTTGCCTCCCACAACTCTGGAGAACTGGACTGTACTCTTGCCCAGCCTCAGTATTGGGGAGGCCTTCTTAGAGGCAATACCTTTCTCATCATGAGTCGGAGTCGCGGTTGTGGGGATGTCAAACCACTGAGCCAAGGAGTTAGAATACCACACAGTCAGCTCCTCCCCTGGCTGGACATCTCGTAATGCTCGATAGAAGATCTGGGATTCAAGAAATACAAAGTTCTCTGTCATTTCCTGGGTGAAAAAAATGGAACTGAGAATGAAGGTTCAAATCCTGACATTGTGACCGTAGGAGAAACTACTGGATCTCTAGGAACCTCATCCTTCCTTCATCCTTTAAACAACAAAACAATACAAAAGTGTCTTCCTTAGAGAGCCATCGGCATGTTTAAGTGAGACCTCTTCCCTTTCAAAGAGCTTTACTCTTAAAATTCCTGGGCACCATAGGGACAGTTAGGTAGATAAAATTGTCAGGGATGAGGGGGCAAGACAGTACCTGTCCTCCTGGTAAATCTGCAATAGCTTCCAGAGTCTGTTCCTGGGGATTCCTGGCTGCCCGGATTAACCCTATCCACTCCAGAGGGGAGCCCCCCAACTCGTCCACCAGCTCCCCTCTCACCATTCGAACCTGCAATACAAGCAGCTTGTGGTTGTTTCCCACAGCCAGGCCCACAACCCAACCTAGAAGAAAAGTTTATCCTCCACCCCACCCAATTCAGAAAGTACTGAAAACTCCCACCTCTGAGTTGCTGGGAGAATAATTCCTTGGGGGTCCTGCTTCAGATGATGGAGAAATAGGGAAGGCTGACCAGTACATCAGTCTCCACCACCACCACCACTACCATACTCCTTGGGAAAAGCGACTGAGTGAGGCATCTTCCCAGAGCACCTGGTGCTGGCGCTCCTTGTGCCTTACCCCACCTCTCTCCGCTCGCGATTTAGGGAGCAGCCCTAAATCTGATCAGACCGAGAGCATAGAGCATCGCTCTTCCTGCCCACTCTCTCTCGGGGGAAGTGTTGCCTGCAGCTAGCAAGCTATTTAAAAGCAATTAAATTATGCTTAAAGAGAAAGGCGTGGTAAGTTTCAAAACAGGGTTTAGACTAGGATGCGATGCAAGAGGAGCAAGCTAAGGACACCAAAACTACCTCTCTAGGCAGTTGCTAAAACCGGTCATTCCTTTTCTGCCACACTTCTGACTTCATTTCCTGGTTGCTCCCCCACCCCACCCCACCCCACACACACACACTGCAGGCAAGAGTCTAAAATCCCCTCTCTGTCCTACATCATGATGGTGTTTGGGGGCACAAAGCTGGAAGGTTAGCCCTAGGGCCTTAAGTTAGGCCCCTGGACTCACAGCCGCTGTAAACGCCCCAACTGGGTGCTCCTCCCCGTTTGGCACCCCTAGCTCTTAGAGCCAAAATCACCTCCTGACTCATCTTCTCTTCACTTACCCCAAACCTACAAGCAAATAGAAAAACCTGGGCATGTTCCAGGAACTGAGAACTTCACAAGAATTTTCTTTTCGGTGGAAATGGGATTTAATGGTTAAAAATAAATTTAAGCCTCAAATTAAATACAAAAGGGAAGAAGAGGGAAAAAGTCCTCCACACTCTGTGTCTCAGGAAAAGTGTACCTTTGCGAAAAGAAGCAAGGACCGACCTGGGAGTTGGGGGCCTTCGTCGCGGTGAGGGCACTCCACAGCGCTGGGGAGTACGTAAAAACGTGGGTGCTGCACCCAGGATCTGTTGCCTCTCCTTTCAGCTTTCAGTCTGGCCCACGTCCAGCTCTCTGAGACAGGCTAGGAATAATCCCTGTGCCCTTCACTGCGGAAGTAGCAGGTGCCCCATTTCTCTGCTGCCCCTCTCTGTTCCTTTCCTGGGCCGGGGGGCGGGGGGGATGGCAGGGGACAGAGATGTAATAACACAGTACCTTTTTCTTGGGCCCTGGCTCCCTGCGATCTGACAGGTATTTGCCCAGTTTGAAGGTGCCAGGCACCGGTCCGAGGCGCAAACCCGCCGGGATGCAGCAGTCGGCGTTGACGCTTGTGGCCGGAGCGCGGGAGGTTCCGTGCATTGTTGCCACCGCCGCCAGGCAGTCGCTCGGGCGCGCCGCGCGCCGGGTCCAGGCAGGGCGCGAGTGACAGAACCCGAAGCCGAGTGCTGCAGGAAGAGCCGCGCCCCGACGTGTGTCCTCCGCCTTGGAGTGACTCCGGCGGGCATGCACCGCGCCTTTTCAATCGGGGTGGGCGCCTTTTGGCACTGCAAGCGCAAGGGCGCGGAGTTGGTGAGAGAGTTGCGCTGTGAAGCAGCTGCAGAGTCCCACCCGAGAGGGTCACATGGAGTGGTTCCCTCAGCCCCCTGCATAATCGAGGCCTCTGAATGGCTAGCACACAATGGTCCAGGCGACCTTCCCATTCCTAAAAATCCAATTTGTCAAGGGCGAAGAAAAGGCGCTGGTGAATCAAAGGTCCGGCGGGACCATTAATCCTCAGCATGGGGTATTGTCCCTGAGACAGTTACGATATTTTAAGTGACAAATCCACTGTATAATTTCTCCATAAATTTTACTTCCTTTTATTGTTCGCCGACAAACCAGTTTTGGGAAATAAGTGACTACTTTAAGTCTACTCGGCTGATTCCTTTGAGCCTTGGTCTACTTCAAAGATTTTTAATACTCTCCCTTTGGCTTTATTGTAAAGGAGATTAAACAAAGAGATGGGGACTGTTTGGAGGGCTTGTTAACTTCTATTGATTTCTGGCGTGTGCCAAACAGAAATTAGGCAGGTACTTGATGAGAAAACACCAGAAAATACCTACACTTTTTAAATAACAACCATAGTACCATTTCAGGGTATTGGGTTCAGACCAGTCCACCATTTAGAACCGCTTTAATTGTTCCCTCTGCTCCATTTCACCCCAAATATGAAACCTCCCGATCAATCTGCTGAGTGTTGCTGCTGCCCTGGCACTCGGAGCTAGTTCTCCCTCTCTCTCTCTCTCTCTCTCTCTCTCTCTCTCTCTCTCTCTCTGGATGGGAAGCAGCAGGAAAGTCAAGGACTTAGGGGATCTACTAGGTGGACCCACTCTGCAGCCTTGCAAAGGGGGGGTATTAATCTTGGCCACCTTAACCGCAAGGCACCAATTCAAACCTTGTTTTCCTTTTGAAGTTTTAAACCAGAAAGCAGTCCTGAGACTAACAGCTGGATTTTACTTATTTTAAAAGCAAAGCCATCCCAATAAAATGAAGCTGCAGAGCCAAGGCAGGTGTTTGGGTCAACAATTTTTATGGTCCCTTATGAACTGATAGGACAAGTATTTCAGAATTTAACCAAATGCTCCCCTTTTCTTTTAAGGAAATCTAGTTCTGTGAGGACAATTTTTCCATAAGCTACTAGGTGGGCATTCTAGCTCCTCAGATACTGGCACCTGGTACTCACTGTTAGAACTGGCCACCTACCTACACAGCGACCGCAGGCATCAACACAAAATGGGGCTGAAATGGCACTGGTCCTCCCACCCTGACTTTGTAGAACAGAGAGCCTAGGCAGCACCCTCTCTAGTTCTCCATGTAACTTTGCCTCAGGAAGGTGTGGTTATGTCACCTCAAGTAGAAGTGACTAGTTAATAGGGCTTGCAGGATGCAGAGGAGTGACAACTCTATAGCTTGTTTGCCCTCCCTCAAAGAAGCTTAGTACAGCTGCACTCTGTAGGAAATCTTGGGCAGTACCAGAAAACTCACCCAAGACTAGAGTCAGAACACTTTCCACGAACGGCATGGGACCACAGTATCCTGATATCTAAAGTGGGAATGCTGGATGCAAGTAGTACCTTGCCTTCCTCTCCACTGTTCACCCCAATTGTTCAGGAAAATCGGTAACACTAGAATTCTGAAAGCCATGAAACTTATGGTTTGTAGCGATGACGAAAGCCAGGCCGGGTCAAAGGTCACGAGTCTAAGAAAATCAAATCAAGAAGGTGCTGGGACACAGAGGACAGACGCAGTGCCTGTTCCCGTGCCTCAGTAGACATGCATGCTGGGACACTGGAGAGCCACTGGGTGGGCCTGGAGTGGCCGCACCTAAGGAGATAACGTCACTCCCGAACCATTTCGGAGGAAACCACCCCTAAGTTTTACTCTCAACCCTCCTGTTGCCCCTCTGCGAGTGAAGGAGGTTGCCCTACAAAGAGGACTGAGCCTTTGATCCCGGGGCCTATGAATGGCAAAAGCTGGGGGAAGGGAGGAGGAGAGGAGCAGAGGAAGGGGCTCTGAGGAGTCTAGGGCAATAAATTTAAGCCATGAACATGTCCCTCTAACCTCTGGCCTGGCGACTCCGGATGACACCCATTTTAAATTACCAGCACTGCGAGCGGAAAGGGGAGATCGCGGGGCCTGGGTTCGGGGCGCCTCCCCAGCCCTCCTTAACGAGTGAAAAAGCGTGAACGACACGCGAACAATTTTATCAATAGGACCATGTAAAGGCCGACTGTGAGGAAAGTTATTTATTAATATAGGCAATTGTGACTGATTCCTGGCTTCTCAAGAAGAAAGAGACTGCGCCAGAGGCGTTCATACCAGCTCGCTGAGTTTTATTCTGTACTGTGGCTCGGAGTTGCAATTCCCCAAGTGAAATAAATTGTCCACAAAGGAGGAAAGGAACACATTTTCTTTTATTTTTCCTCCCCTAAAAAGCAAGGGTGAAACCAATCTAATGTGCCTAGTGGAGCAAGATCGGCCGTGAAAGGCTGGGTGTTAAAAGTAAAAGCGGGCTGTGCAGCAAATGGGATGGAAAATTAAATGAAATTAAATAGCTTGAACGGTCGTATTGTCCCTTATTAAAAAGACACATTAATTACATGGTCTCAGCCTTATTCAAAGACAATGTTGAGACTCAATCAAAACATTCCACTCGGCTTTTTTATGTACTTAAAATGGGCGTCCAGAGGCCCTGGTAAAGCGAAATCCCTCCTCCACCGAGGTGCGGCTAGCATGTTTTGGGGGCGGTTCTCGCAGGCACAGCTCGCGCCGGGATAACCGGTTGACAAGGGAGGAGAGGATGCTAAGTACCTCCGCTCAGGGGGAGGCGGGCTCGGAAGCTAAGTCCCACCGCGAGCTCGGCTGGGAGCCTGGCCCGCGGACCCCGCCCAGCCCCGTGTGGCGTCCAGCTCCCGGCGCCCAGCACGTGCGACCTAGAGGGCTCATGCCCAGAAGGAAAGAGGCCGCAGGACTCGGGGGCTGAGTTGAGCAGCTCCTTTCAGAGCACACTTCTCTGGTGCTTCAGCCGCGCGCTAAGACCCTGGACTTGAGATCCGGTGGAGACGGAGTTGGCTGCCCCCCGCGGGTCCTGAGCCTTAGGAACACGAATGTCTTGGAGTCACTAAACAATGCCACTCCTGGCAGGACACTGCACAGCCCCCAACCGGACATGGAAGAGCGGTGCGGAGTCCAGGCCGCCAGCCTGGCCTCAGGGGGAGGCAGAAGGCTGGAGCTGCGGGTCTTCGGCTGAGCTGCGGCCGAAGTGAAGTGGCCTGGGACTCGCCCCCTGAGGGCATCTGCCCTGGCCCGGCAGGCAGGTCAACGCAGACCAGCTGCGCTGCCTCCAAGGCGCGGGTGGGACATTAAGGCCAGATCTGAATAGGGCGGCGGCGGCGAGCGGCTCTGGGAACGCCACCAGATGACACGCCGGCGACGGGGTCTTTTTCCCCTTTAATTGCGTGGCCGGTGGATGCGCGGCGGCCGGTCGGCTCCAAAGTCTTAGCCAAGGACGCAGCCCGGACACCGCTGGTGGGTTTTGTGGTGCCTTTTTTGTAGTTTTTTTTTTTTAAGTCTGCCATTGGAAACGACTCAATAAAAGTATTCAGAGTCCCTCTCAAGTTGCCTTTTACCCGGAGTTCCCCAACTTATTTCTCGGTTCTTTCGGTTGACATGGTGCAAAGAAAAGTCAGGGAGCCGCGCCGTTGAATTGCAATGTCTTGGGGCACCTCCACATTCAGCGCTTCTCTGCCGGCCTCTGTCCGAGGAGCCCGCGCTCAATTCGATTTTCCTTGCTGTTGGACACATTTAGGAGTGCCTCTATTTGTGAAGTTCATTTCTAGGCAAATGTATTCAAGAGCTGATGGGAATGAATAGGACCGTGTGTCAGCCGCCCCTAATTGGGATTAAAGCACTTAGGAGCATATGCAGAGACTGACAGAAATTCTCAGGTTGCATTGTGTTCAGACTTCCACCGGCTCGGATGTTCCTCCTCCAAGGGAGATTTATAAAGACTGCAGAGAGAAACTGAGGAAAGAAAGGCGAAAGGAAAAGGGCCCAGCTAATGGTTCAGAATGGGGCTGCGATTCAGCCAGTGGAGATGAGGACTTCAGAGTAAAGATGCGAGGGATATTTGGGCGCGCAGGGCAGGTCTGAACTCTAATTAGAAGGCGGAGAGTTAAAGGCAAAATAAAGATGTTCTTGAGGTTCCCAAGTCGTGTCCCCCATCCCCCTGCCCC